AGATATATAATTTGATACTTACATGCTGGGCAAGAATGGGAAAAAATAGTAAAATTTTGCTTTTTATAATGAAGCCAATATGTTTAAATAGAGCAGAAATCTCTGTATGTAGAGTAAAAACACTAAAATATGCAATAGCCTGGTCTGAGGTGTTCCAGGCAGAGTTTGTTGGCTGTGCTTGGTGTGACAACAGTGACAGTGTGATGTGTACACACTGCACGCTCAGAATCAAGGCTACAGTGTCATGGGATGCAGACAGTGTAGTGTGTACACACTGAACACTCAGAATCAAGGCTTCAGTGCCACGGGTTGCAGCATGGGTGAATGCTTCCAGAAACATATTGGATGTATTGTGAATTTGACTTTGTATTAACTTGGGGCTATTGTGTTTTCAGAAATGTTCAGGTGTTGCTGAAATGTTCATTACAGTTATGGTAGTTATATGTTAAATGGTCCTGTAAGGTGGTTATGACATGAAGTTTAAAACATCAATAACAATTTTTAAGTATGTGTGTGTATTACTACGTACATATGAATGTATTGCCTGTGAAGTTCAGAAGAGGGCATTGGATCCCCTAGAGATACAGTCTGCTGTGAGCCACCCCATGTGGGAGCTGGGAATTGAACTCAGATCCTCTACACAAGCTGAGCAATCTCCCTGGTTTTGAGCTCTCTGCTGAAATCTAAACTCTAGATTTTGCCTTCCTCCACCCCAGGCCAGGCCTGACTGACTTGTGATGCTCTTACCTGAGCGGGGAAAGTTAGAGGGTGTTGGGGCGGGGTTTAATATAAGCAGTGGTCTAGGCTGGAATTTCTGATAAGGAACTTTGGTGGCCTCTTGTGAGTCTCAGACCCTTGGCAAGAGACTTAGGAGCTATGTCATTTCACATCTAGGTCCCAAAGTGAAATATCCAAGTATGGAGTTGGGGATGCTTGTTTAGCTGGGAGAGCTACCGACTGATGGGCAGGAATGTAGGAGGAACACAGAATTCTGGACTTGCTTCAAGAATTACTGGGTAGCTCTCTTAAGGAGGATGTGATGGGGTGTGTAAGAACTCACAGGTAGTAGATGAGCTCCATTCAATCCCTAGATTCTGACTAGCACCCACTTTTCTCTGGTGGTTCTCTGGTACCTAGAATTTACTGGATGCCATGTATTAAACAGAGCAGTCCTGGGATCGGGGCAGATTCTTTGGTTGTTGAAACCCCCAGTTCAGGCCACAGACACTACATGAAAAGCTCAGCTGAAGAACAGTGAGAACAGAATCCCTGGGGCTTATTGACCAGCCAACCTAGCTTAGCCAATGCACTCCCAGTTTAGGAGAGTATTACTTCAAAAAATCAAGGTGGAGAAGCCACCTTAGAAACAATACCTATGGTTTACATCTGGCTTCCACATACACACATATATATATACATCTGTGTGTATGCGTGAGCGCGTGCGCCAGCACACACACACACACACACACACACACACACACACACACAGAGGTAAGATTCCCATCGATGGCACTTGGTCCTACCTCTGTCACTTCTCTGAAGGGAAGAGCAGTCATGACTTTCTTCAAAGTGTCAGGAGGTTGAATGAAACCATGTGCTCACAGAAAGGCCAAGTAAAAACTGGCAGCTACTACTAGAAAAAGCAAACTTGATTCTGCCCCAGCTAGGCTAGAAAGGTTTAGCGCTCTCTCTCTCTCCCTCCCTCCCTCCCTCTCTCTCTCTTTCTCTCCCTCTCTCTCTCTCCGTCTCTCTATCTCTATCTGTGTGTGTGTGCATGCACACACGTGAGCCCTTCCATGTGTCTAAGTTGGCCAGAAGAAGGTGTCAGAGCCCCTGAAGCTGACTACAACAGGCAGTTATGAGCTACCTGACATGGATATGTTGGGACCTGAACTCAGGTCCTCTACAAGAGCAGCGAGTTCTCTTTATCCTTTTCTCTTCTCTGACTGTTTATACCAAGAGCAGAGCCCTTTCTGATTCCTTAGAAAGCACAGCTAACCTCAAGCTGACTTCTGGGCTCATGATCCATGTCCTAGGGCTGCTAGGGCGAGACATATTAAGTGTGGAAAGTCGTGTTCAGAGCAGGTATTCCAGGCACAGGGACGCAGTCTCCTCTCTCAGGGCTGTACTCTTGCAGTCCCCACAAGCCAGAGACCGTACTGGGCTTGACCCAGATCCATAGCTGCACTACCTGGCTAGGGTCTGGCTCCACTTGCCCATCTTCAAAGTAAGGATCGTGAGAGCCAACCCTGCCAAGCTTAGAGCACAGACAACAAACAAGGGTCATGTCAGACTGCTGAGCCTACAGCTGCCAGCAGGCTCTGTCCTTACCGGCATTAGGTCCTGCTGCTCCAGTCGGCACCTCAAGACACCAGGAGAAGGAACTGGTGAACCTCAGTGTCTCCTGCAGCCCTGCGGCACTGGCCACACCAGGGCCCTTTCTTGGATCCTGCCCAGGCTTAAAAACTTGTAGGTGGTCACAAGCGACAGAGGATACTGTGCTCTGGGGAAATGGATGTGTGATAAGTTCCAGGGCAGTGAGGACTTAGAACAACAACAACAACAACAACAACAACAACAACAACAACAACAGCAAAGCACCAAAACCCTTTATTTATAGCCTGGCAAGATGGCTTGGAGGGTGAAGACACTTGCTACGAAGCCTGAAAACCTAAGTTCACTTCCCGGGTCCCTTACGGTAGAAGAGAAAACAGACTCTTGCCTCCACACACATGACATGGCATGCATGCCTCCCCACCCCTCCACACACACGACATGGCATGCATGCATCCCCACCCCTCCACACACACAGCATGGCATGCATGTATCCCCACCCCTCCACACACACAGCATGGCATGCATGCATCCCCACCCCTCCACACACACAGCATGGCATGCATGCATCCCCACCCCTCACACACATGGCATGGCATGTATGCATGCCTCCCCACCCCTCCACACACAAAATAAACATATAAAATGCAGTAGAAAGCAGACTTCCTTTAAAAATTGTTATTAGTGTCTGTGCACATGCACAGATGTGATGGCGCATGTATGGAAGACAATTTTATAGAGCTGACTCTATGTCCATCTTTTCAGGGTTCAAGGGTTGTACCCACTGAGCTATCTTGACACCCCCCAATAAAGAATTTTTTCGATAAAAAAAACCTATTTCTATATCTGTCAGTGACTGAGAAGTTAGTCCTAGCTGTGTGACCGTGGGCAAACCATCTAACGTCTCTGAGCCTCAGATATTTCTCTGTACTCTGAAATAAGAGCACGTTGTCACTCTGAAAGGTCATAGTGTCTGGATAAAGAGAAAAGTCCCAGATAGCCCTAAGATGCTGGTCACCGCTGCTAGCCTCTTCCACCCCATCCCCTGTGGGGCAGGGGTACAAGTGGGGATTGGAGAATCAATCTCCTTTAAGAGAACTCCCAAGCAGACTGGGCCAGGACAGCAGCCCCCAGGAATTGATGGGCTGTCAATCGCTGTCAGCTTCGTCCTCCCAGCAGGTCCTCAGGTGGAAGTCTTTGGGCGCTGCTATTTCATATTTGATATCTTAATCATTTTGCTTGGCTCTGAGTTTGAGAGGATAGATGGGAGTTGATAGAGGCATTGTGTTCTCAAGGGTGAAGGCTTTAGAGATAGGAAAGGGGGGTATAGGAAAGCTTCAGGGGGTGTCTTTATTCTGAGGCTGACCTCTCTGCAGGATTGCCTATGGGAGTGGCCCAGACCCTATCTCTGGGCAGAATAGACTAGATGCCATGGCAAAGGTCTTAGCGATCAGCTTGTTTCCAAGATTCCAGAAGGTTTCCCCAGGACAACTCAGGCTACCATGGACAAGGCCCCATGTGGAGACACTGATTCCTATCAATCCTTTCTCAAAGATGGCAGGATCAGGCAAGGCCTTCCTAGCCTAGGAACTCTGCTACAGGTCTCTGGGATGAGCCAGTTTGCTGACAGAACGTGACAGCTCCGTGGGAGTCAGGGCGACCTCCTGGGCTTCGGTGGGTCACTGTCACCACCTCTGAGCAGCATGTTCAGTCTCTGTCACCTGCTCTCTCCTGTTAACACCAGCAGCCTGCAACAGGAACGGATCCTTCCGCACAAGGAGCTCCCTTGCAGGAGAGAGGTGCTGGGTTCAGGCTCAGGGTAGGACCTTTGATTCCCAAAGCAAAGGCCCAGAGAGGTCTCCAGGACCCCTGAGGACTTCTAGTGTTAGGGGATGGGTGGAGGGATGTTAGCAACAGATGTGGGGGAGGGGCAATCACCCCACTAATTCCTGAACCTTCCTTGTCCCACCCAGGTGCCTTTGCACTTCTCTGTTGCCCCCCTCCCCGGCCCCACATCCACCTCTGTCCCATGTCTAGATGCCTCTCCTCACCCATACTTTCTTTCTTTTTTTTTTTTTTTTTTTTTTTTTTTTTTTTTTTTTGGTTTTTCGAGACAGGGTTTCTCTGTGGCTTTGGAGCCTTTCCTGGAACTAGCTCTTGTAGACCAGGCTGGTCTTGAACTCACAGAGACCCACCTGCCTCTGCCTAATCCCCGAGTGCTGGGATTAAAGGCGTGCACCACCATCTCCCGGCCCTCACCCATACTTTCAACTATCATTTTATTTCCTTCATCTTTGAATTCATTGCCTTACTTTTGGGCACTTACTTAGTCAAACCTGGAGAGAATGTCTGTCTCCTTTCTTTTCTCTGAAACTCCATCCCAAACATTTCTCTCTTGTCTTTGCTCTCGCCCCAACTGTCCCCTGCATCTTCCAGATCACTTCGTTCATGGTTTTACCATTTTCTCTGCCACACCCCTAATTCTTGCCCCTTCCTTCTTCCTTCCTCTCTCCCTTCTGGTCACCGTTTATCCACCATTTCTACCTTTCCCGGTCTCTGCCGTCCTCTCAGTGGGCCTGCATGTGTCTCTGTTGCTCTGTGTCTGCCTGTGACTGCACCCTATCACCCCACCCTTTCTTACTCTCTGTGTCTGCCTCCCTCCTCAGGATGATCCCAGCCTCCAACAAGGCCTTCGTGGTCAACAACCTAGTGTCCGGGACGGGCTACGACTTGTGTGTGCTAGCCATGTGGGACGACACAGCCACGACGCTCACGGCCACCAACATTGTGGGCTGCGCCCAGTTCTTCACCAAGGCTGACTACCCACAATGCCAGTCTATGCACAGTCAGGTCCTGGGGGGCACCATGATTCTGATCATCGGGGGTATCATTGTGACCACGCTGCTGGTCTTCATCGTCATCCTCATGGTCCGGTATAAAGTTTGCAACCACGACACCCCGGGCAAGATGGCGGCAGCCACTGTCAGCAATGTGTACTCGCAGACCAATGGGGCCCAGCCTCCACCTCTGGGCGGGATCCCTGTTGGGCAGCTTCCTCAGGCACCACCCAAGGTTGTGGTCCGGAATGAGTTGATGGACTTCAGTACAAGCCTGGCCAGGGCCTGTGACTCTTCTTCCTCCAGCTCTCTGGGCAGCGGGGAAGCTGCAGGCCTGAGCCGGGGTCCCTGGAGGCTCCCACCCCCTGCTCCTCGCCCCAAGCCCAGCCTTGACCGCTTGATGGGAGCCTTTGCCTCCCTGGACCTCAAGAGTCAAAGGAAAGAAGAACTTCTAGACTCCAGGACTCCAGCAGGCAGAGGGGCAGGGACATCAGCCAGGGGCCACCACTCAGACCGAGAGCCACTGTTGGGGCCCCCGGCCACCCGTGCCAGGAGCCTCCTCCCTTTGCCCCTGGAGGGCAAGGCCAAAAGAAGCCACTCTTTTGACATGGGAGACTTCGCAGCTGCAGCTGCTGCTGCTCCTGGTGGCTACAGCCCTCCTAGGCGGGTCTCGAACATCTGGACGAAGCGCAGCCTGTCTGTCAATGGCATGCTCTTGCCCTTTGAGGAGAGTGACCTGGTGGGAGCCCGGGGGACATTCGGCAGCTCAGAGTGGGTAATGGAAAGTACTGTGTAGCGGGGGCGGGCGCACCCTTCCTCCCGCTCTCGGTCAGCACTGGCAAGTGTTTGTGGAGTTTTTATGGTGATGTTTACATCCAGGGACAGTCTTGTCTCCCTGTCAACAGCCTCATGTCCTGCCCAGCTACACCTCTTTCCCCGTGTCACCTTCCCATGCCTGTCCCCACCACCCAGCGGGGTGTGCTCAGGGAATGGGACTCACTCAAGTGTCAGACTGAACCCTGAGTGTTTGGAGAGGCAGCGTACTGCCTTTCTACTCACAGATGTAGCGACAAGCAAGCGGCTTCGGATTGCTTATGGATCCAGTGTTGTTTTGATTTCTTAATTTATTTTTCCATTTCCCAGACTCCTCTTCATTCTTCTGGAAAATCGAGAGTGTTCTCTACGTGTGAAAGTGTGTTCCCAGAAGCCTGGTGGGATGAGGTGAAGGTGGGTGGGAGTTAGCAAGATTCTGGTTATTCTGGGGAACCACCCCCAGAGACTGCATAAGCCCTGCCCAGAGACCCCATAACCCCTGCCCAGAGACCCCATAAGCCCTTCCCAGAGACCCCATAACCCCTGACCAAAAACCACACAACCCCTGTCCAGAGACCCTATAACCCATGCCCAGAGACACCATAACCCCTCACCAGAAACCCCATAACCCTTGCTAAGATCCCTCTAAGCCCTGCCCAGAGACCCCATAATCCTTGCCCAGAGACCCCATAAGCCCTGCCCAGGGACCCCCATAACCCCTGCCCAGAGACTCTATAAGCCCTGCCCAGAGACCCCATAAGCCCTGACCAAAAACCACATAATCCCTGCCCAGAGACCCCATAACCCCTGCTAAGATCCCCATAAGCCCTGCCCAGAGACCCCATAAGCCCTGCTAAGATCCCCATAAGCCCTACCCAGAGACCCCATAAGCCCTGCCCAGAGACCCCATAACCTCTTCCCAGAGCCCCAGAGCCCCTGGCCAGCCCTATAGCCTGCTTTGGGATGTGTGAATGACCCAGCTTCCTTTTGTTCCCAGACATGACACCCACACCCAGCAAAACAAAGTTAGAGAGTTGACCCCAAGCTGCAGGTGGCCCTGAGAGAGGGTTTGTGATGTGGGGCAGAAGGGATCGTACCTTGAGGGCACCTCCTCTTCTCCTGGGAGTGATGATCTGTGCTGATCAAAAGGACTTTTATGTGACGGAGATGAGGAGAATAGGCCACTGAACGACATAGGAAAGACCTAGTCTCTCTTTGGACCTCAGTGTCCCTCCTGGCAAAGCCCTAGGAAGGTCCTAGGCTGCCAAAGGTGAACTAGGTCTTCCCAACTCTAGCTGATCACCTGAACGGAGCACAAGCACTGGGTCAATCCCGACCCCTCCCGTGGCACTGTGGGAACATGCTAGAAGCTTCCAGCGGAAGCTGAACTTCTTTAAAACATTCTTCCAGAGAGCTCAGGAGGATCTGTAATCAACCTGTGTTTAAACTGTCCTCCCTCTCTCCAGAGCATGAAGCTTACCTAAAGTGACCAAGCCAGAGCAGAGGAAAAGGTTGCCTGTCTCCTGGGGAGGTTTTTTGCCGCCACGATCCTGTCTTCCCCCCAACCACGGTGGTTCTGGGCAGAGTCAGTGCCTTGCCTGTTCCTTAAGATGACGTTCAGGGTGCTCATGGTGAAATAAGGAGTGCCTTCTCATGACTCCCTGCAGAGTATGTGTCCACGGAGGCAATGGAGTAGGAGCAGAAGGGGGTCTTGGCTCATGCCCACCCACCCCGCCCCTACTCCACTCCCACACACCTGGGGAAGAGCTGCTTTAGAGAGAGTGACAGCCTGCCTCTGCCACGTCTGTGCTGTCTCCTGCCTTCCAGCTCTCTCCCCAGAGCCTGCGTATTACCTCTCCCTCCTTCTGTCTTCCTAACCTCACCATTCGGTCTAGCCTGCAACACAGGCATACAACCTGCAGAGCCTGCGAGTGAGAGCATGTTCAGTGTCTGATGAACTCAGAGCCCCATCCAAGAACACAACACACAGAGATGACACTGTCTCTGCAGATGACCCCGTGGTTCTGCCAGGGAGCCTCCCATTCCACACCTGCATCCTCCTTCCCTCCTCCCTCTCCCTTCTCACCCCTCCTGTTGCTGTCCCCTTCTCTGCCTGCTGCCTTTCCCATAATTATTTTCTAGTTCTGATAAAGTCAACCGAACACCAGACTATTGTCTCCAGAAACCCAAAACCATTTTCCACGCTAGTCTAGGCTCCAGGGCTCTAGAATGTCCCTTCTCTGTCACACTAACCCACTGGAAGGACATTTCTAGGGCCAGGCTATAGGTCAGCTGGCAGAGTGCCTACCTAGCATGCACATGGCCCTGGGTTTGACCCTCAGCGCTGCGTGAACTGGCTGTGGGGGTGCATGCCTATAATCCAGCACTTGAAAGGTGGATGCAGGAAAATCCCAAGTTTGAGGTCATCCTTTGCTACGTGAAGAGTTTGAGGTGAGTCTGGGCTATACAAGACCCTGCTTCAAAACAAAACAACCTCCACAAAGGAAACCTCTCATCCTTCCTTACCTCCTACTTTCCTGCTCCAATTTCCCACTGCACACGTCCCACCCATCCTGTTAGAGTGATCCGAAGAGGAAGTGGACCCAAAGACCACCTTCTTTCTCACCTTTGGATGACTCACTGTCCCTCTTGGTCAGCAGCTCAGGGCCATGGTGGCATGCTATGTAGCTGCTTTTGTGTACTCGTGTTTCTAACATGGATGGGGAAGCAATGCCCCCAGGGTCAGAATGTAAGTGTACATATCCTCTTTTTTAAAAAAGTCAGGTAAAATGCACACTTTTAAAAAGCAGCCATACCACATTGCCTGGGAGGGGAGGAAAAGGAATCTTCTCATGTCTGTGGATGTCTGCTCTTCATTTCTCTGGAAGCTCTTGGTTTCCTAAAGATGACTCTGAAGTGCCATTTTCCCTGTGCACCTGCGTTTGTGAGTGCCTGACGAGAGTTTGCTTCCTGCCAAGTTCGTGTACAAGGTGCTAGCAAGGGCCTCTCCCCCTCTGACACCCAAGATGGGAGAAGGTGTCCTTCCCTCGTGTCCTTCTAGCCACTTCTGGCCATATGAGCTAACTCTACCAGCCTGGCCCAGCCATTTTTATTTCCAGGGTTGTGGTTGCTGCCTTACAGGACCATGGGGACATAGGTGCCTTCCCAACATTTGACTGAGCAGCAGATAGCTCTATTTATCAAAAACCTGCCTGTATTCAATAGCACTAATAGTAGGGACAAGGTGGCCAGGAGTTCAAGTGAACCTTGCCTACACAGTGAATTGTAAGCCAGTCTGAGCTACAAGAGACTCAGGTTTAAAATAAGGAGTGGGAGCTGGAGGGGTGATTTAGCAATTAAGTGTATTTGCTGTTCTTGTAGAGGATCCAAGTTTGGTTCCCAGCACCCATAGCAGGCAGCTCATAATCACCTACAACTCCAGCTCTGGGGAAATTTTTTCTGGCCTCCATGGACACCCACACACTGGTAGCAGACACTCACACATACAGACAAACACACACACACACACACACACACACACACACACACATTCTTAATGCCTTGCTGGTAACCAAATGCAAAGTGAAAAACCCAATGTGTCCCGAGCACTCAGCTTCTGAGCCTGCCTTCATGCACTGTCTAGAGCAGGGCCACCCAACAGAACAAAACAGGAGGCCCGCTATAATTCTGGATTTTCTTTTAGCCACAGTAAACTAAGTATGAATAGGTAAAATTAATATTACTAAGATGCTTTATTCAAATCTGTATATCTAAAAAGCTCTTACAACAAGCAGTCACTATAAAATTAGGGAAGATACTACACACACACACACACATATATAATCTGGTGTGTATATTTTGCTTGTACTTTCAATCTCATCTTGGACTGACCACTTTTAAAGCACCTGAGTCCTAGTTGTGGCTAGTTCAGACAGGCATATTGGACAGTGTGATTCTAGACATATAAAGGGCTTAGAGGCACAGCTTCTGGAGGACAAGAGAAATGTCTCCTGAATTCCTGTGGGATCCTGCAGTTTCCAGGTTCAGTGCCTCATGTGTCACCTAAAGTCTCACTATGTCATCTCTATGTTCTCTCACGGTAGACAAGAGCATAATGAAGCCCTCAGTGCTTAGAAGGGTTAAGGAATCTGTCCAGGGTCACGTGAGAAGTCTGACTGCAAAGCCCGAGCTCTTTCCAGCACACATCCCTGCCACCCACCCCATAGAGTTCTCCTCCTTCCAGCCAGGCACAGACAACACTGAACAACAACACAACAACTTCTTTTTGGAGTCCTTGATTTGGTCTCAGTTCTGACAGACTCTGAGGCATCGACTCTAGGCTCAAAGTCATGGTTAAATGTTCGCGCTGACCTCACTTTGGGCTTTCTGTCTTAGTCAGAGTTTCCACTGCTGTCAATAGCCATCATGGCCACGGTAACTCTTACAAAGTAAAACGTTTCATTGGTGAGGCTCACTTACAGTTTTAGAGGCTTGGTCCATTATCATCATGGCAGGGAGCATGGAGGCAGATGTGGTACTGGACTAGCAGCTAAGAGTCCTACATCTTGCAGGCAACAGGAAGTCAACAGAGACACTGGGAAGTAGTAAAATTATGGAGGCCAATTACATTCAAGCTACCACATGGATCTTCCTGTACCCACAGCACCTGCCTTTCACTGGCCAGGAGATATCTATAAACTGGACTGTGTTGCCCAGCTTTTCCTGCCGTCACCCCTTCTCTCCTGAAGGAACTTTCAGGAAGTCCCGTGGCTAGCCTTTGGTCAGGCATCTTTGCTAGATGTGATATGGCTGAAATAGCATAACCCCAGCCGGTTGCCAAACTTTTTGGCAAAGAACTAACCCCACTTCTCCGCTTTCCTGGTATTGACACATTCTTGGGTTTCCCTAAGAGGGAATGTTTCTCATTTCCCCATTGCAAATATTGAAATTCCAAGAGACACGTTTTTCTCAAAGGATGTCATT